GAATCATTCGCAACTATATTTCAGTCACGAAGGGGTCGACATGGGTCGACAGACTCTGACAGACAGATGCGGGCTTTTCCGGTCCTGCAAGCTTCAGTGAAACGAAATGTTTGCATCGAATCAAACCTGCGAACTCCATGTCTTTCAAGGAAGTTGCTCTGCTGTCTTAGACGAGCAAGACAGGTCCAAGTGACAGCGACATCGGTACCAACGATCTCGTCCAGTGCCTCCCTCTTAGCCGTTCTGCTGCGTGCGACGTGTGACAATGCCTCGGGCTTTGACATTGCACAGCGGCCACGGTTGTTGATGTCCCGATTTCGGGCGCGTCACCTCCTTCCGCTTCCGCCTGTTGTCTCTGTCGGCGCGGAATCGGCGCGTAACTCTTGCTCCGTGATCGACTCGGCGGGGCTAGGTGTTGCTCCCCACACAAGCTCAAAGCTCCTTGACACTCTGACCTGCAGGTTGCAATGCAGATTCTGTGGGGCTGAGGGATCTGAAAGAGCTGCCAAGGCCCCAACCTCCAAGACCCTGGAGCAGCGCGATCCTGTTGCTGAGCCAGGCCCGCCTCTGCGACATCTCCCGAAGACGGGATCCAAGACATCCAAGACCCATCCCGCCAAAGGGAGCCTGGCTGTGGAGGCCTCCAGCTCGGGCTCGGCGAGCCGCAGAAGCCTCGGCCGGGGAGGACGTCGGAGGCGCGGCTCTGTCGTTCGAGGCATTTCAGCGGGTCCTAGGCCCCTGGCCTCCTCAGCTCCCGCTCCCGCGCCGCGGTGCCGGCGCTTCGCCTCAAGCCGCGGCCGCAAAGCGCAAGGCCAAGGCGATGCCATGGCAAGATCCGCAAGAAGCAAAGCAAAGCTCCGCCCTGTCCCAATCCGAGACCGAGCGGCATCTTCTCGATGTAGGCCTTCTGACGCGCGTCGCAGTCCTCGTGTTTTTCTCTTTTTCTTGGCAGGCTCTTCCACAGTTGTCCGCAGCGCACTTTCCACACAAGAATCCTGTCTGTCCTGCTTCGTGCTTGGAACGCACCTGCACAGTGCACGAGTCATCCCCGATCTGTTGCGACCTGGCCATCTTCGGGCGCCTCATCATCACCCGCTCGGCCACGCGCCGAAGCGACTCGTAATCTCGTGCCTTGGCAGCTCTGAAGGGCTTCAGAAATCACTTGCAACATCTTGCAACACCTTCGAGGCGTCCCTCTTGCCTGAGACCGCAGCATCAGCATAGGTGCGGCCTGCATGGCCTGGCCAGAAACTCCAAGCCGGTTCGCTTGCTCTGGCCCTGTTGCCTTGCATCTGCGGCCTGTTTCGGCATTGAAGTACTTCAACGTCGGGTAGGACTCAATGGACTGATCCCTGCACAGCTCCTGCGTCGCAAGTCACGACACCGCTGTGGCTCGGATGCCGCAGGGACCGACAACACCATCTGTTGACAACAAGCAAGTCCCCGGAGAAACCGCGTCATTGAGGTCGTCGCCTCGTTTTCTGACGCAGTGCAGTCAATGTCAGAAATAACGATGTCGCCTGGCGAGCAACAAAATAATGGCCATGGCAGATTGGAAATGCCTAGATTTGATGAGATGAAAAAATGATACTAGATGGCTGCGTGCAGCATCGGGCCTGAGCTCTGGTAAGCCTCGGCCAGCTGCTGCCATGCCGGCTGCATTGCCTCGGAGTAGAATGTGCCTCAGACCTCTTAGGACTTTCCACAAAGTGCATGGGTCATCCACCCACACAAATTTCAGCCTGGCTGTGGCCACACCACGGAGCATAGAATCGGACGAAAGCGCTGCGGCCAGCGAGCAATGCCTGCCACTCTGACCGAATGGCCAGGCGACCGAGGCTACGGCTACAGCTGGAGCGATTCAGGCACCCCTCGCCTCCGACACGGCATCTCCGCCCATCCCGACCGCAGCCAGAAGAGGCAGCCAGCATGCCCATGTAGGAAGCATCACTAAGCGCAGGGACCGGAAAATGGCTTCTGAAAGCCGAACTTGTCGATCCGGCCAACAGGATGCTTTCATGACACTAGCCACCCAGCTTCTCGAGCTCAGATGAAGAAAAAAGTTTGCTGGGTGTCGCTGCGGTTGTCTGTCGCTTGAGCTTCGGCACTGGAATAGGCGGAGCAGCCAACTCAGAAACGGAAGCAAGACTGACGTCCAGCTCAAGCAACATATAGACGTGGGATCAACACGTGTCCGAGCGACCTTTGTGGTCAGGATTCCGCCGGAGGGCAGCGGCGGCGTAGGCTGCGGCGGCTTGTGTGTCAGCATGTTTGCACTGGCTCACGACACTGGCCCTTTTCAGAAGGCGAACAGGCCCTACCTTCTCCTTCCAGATGGCAGTGCTTTGCTGCGTGGAAACCTCATACCGACGCTTGACAAAGCAGATTTCTGGGGACATTGGCAACTGACACAAAAAGCGCAGCATCATACTTGCCGATCCTGTCGGCATATCATGTTGCTGACTCACTGAATCTCATGACAAGGTTTAGCTTGCTGCTGCTTTAGGGACTGCAATGCGGTCTTGCGCAGCGACGCAATTTTTCAACGAAGCGTTGGAACCGATTAGTTTCCTCTAAGAGGAAGAATATTCACAACGAGACAATCTGAGGTGAGCATACACCGAGCCATCTTAAGCCAAGAGGAGCTCTCTTGCCACCTCGTCCACCGCGACTGCAAACACAGCCCGAAACCATCCTAAAACCTCTTTCCAAACAGGCCTTTGCTGAACGGCGAGAGCATCGGGACTGCTCACTTAGTTGCACCATCGTTCTGGCTCGAACCAGCCTGGATGCAAGAGTTCCAATTGTGATCCCTTCTCCGAAGCAATTACTAGGCCTGACTCCTGCGGCTGCTGCGGTTACGGCCAGGCCTTCTGCCACCAGCGCCCCACCACTTTTGCCATGCGCTCACCCACGGCAGCAAGCTGGGGCGGAACATTCTGCTCGATCATGCCTTTGACTGCTCAGATCATGTTCATGGCATGCGCTGCGGTCATGCTAACCCACTGTAGGCCTTTGCTGGGAGCGCTCAACCGCTTCAAGCCATCTTTATCGTGTCGAGGCAGCTAAGCAGCTCTTCAACCAGGTGTTCTGAAGCCACTCAATGCCGCAGGTCCTGCTTGGCTCGCAATCCCACGCTGAAAGAGAGTCGTGCGGCCAGGTCCGGTCCTGACCATTTTCAGCTTGCCATCTTGCACGCTGAAGGTGTCGCAGGCAATGACATTGAAGTTGGTGCCTCGGCTCTCAGTCAAGGCGAGAGCTGACACAGGATCCAATTAAAGACTGAATGCCGTGTGCGTGTATACATATATATATATATACACACATATCCATATGGGAGTATAGTCTACCTGCGGGGATCCGATTCTCCTAACTCTACTTACTTCGAGACACGGGCTCAACAAGCTACAGCCGTGCGCTCATGACACTTGCTCTTCTGGATAGCGTGTCTTTCCGGGCAACGGGAGATTCCAAATGCACGGTCATCTCAGTCCTAGCTTGATCACAGGCTCTTCACGGGCTTACAGCTGAGTTGGGAAAGCTGTTGGGGCATGAAATGGCGCCATGCAGCCACAAGGAACATCCAGGGACATGGAAACACTCTCCAGAAGCACCTGGCAGAGACTCTCAGGATGCTAGTGCTCAGTCTGACACCGCTTGACAAAGAGCATATTAAAGCTCTCACGGTCCACCAAGGGCCCTTGCACATCTTGGAAGAGGGTGTTCTAGGACTCCACCCCTCCGCTTGGGATAGAAGCCGACAGGCAAGTCCCGGAGAGATCCACTGCATGCAAACTGCCGCCTTGTCCTCCAAGATGACGACATGCCATGTGCTCTGCACGCGTGTCTCCTCTGGGCTTGGACAATTCGGTTCGAACTTATCTCAGCTTCTGCAGATTGACTTAGCCAATGGTTGTGACAAGCGGTCATGTAGGCACATGTTCAGACGAATCCCACAACACATCACAACACGGCAACAGACCAGTTCGATCTACACATGAGCAACGCCAAATACAACCAGCGGAAGCAGTAGCAAAACTAATCCTGAGTCTGCCCTGGCTTGTCCGTCCGATTCGTTTTGTCTGATTGTGTCTGCTGCTCTGGAACATGTGACCCAAACCCTGAGACTCGTGTGACACACAACCCGTCATGATAGTCGCTCATTTATGGTTACACACTTCACAGCACTCAGCCCACTCCGCCTTCGGACACATAGGCGCAGGTGGCACCGGAGATCGCATCTCGATGGTTCTGACCTCAGGGGTCGCTCGGGATACCTGGCTTAACATGCTCGCTCGATTCAAAAACTCGATTCTTAGCCTGCTTCCCTGCTATCCGATTCGCGTCAACCCCAATACCCTGTAGTCTATTGAGTCTACTACTTCTGTCTTGTCTACTGTGCTGTTCGATGATTTGGCTTGTTCTGTTGAGCGCATTCTGCGTTGCTTTCTTGTCAAGCACTGGCAGCTACCTTTTCCATTGATATCGAGTTACTCTGATGCTTTGTCTTGCCTTGCAAACAGAATCCCACTCTTGCACTGATCTATGCACTCGTTTGTCCTACCTTTTGCCTTCTTTCCCGCTGTGATTTCTCTGTCTCTGTGCCAATCTTGCTACCTTCTGCATTAACGCAACTCGAAGAGGCGAATAACCCTCATCATCGAGCATTCTCCCTGATCCGATGCATTGCAGTGTGAATACGTTTTGAATCCCGACGTCATTGGATGAGTCCGTGCTTCAATGATCTTCCAGCTTACGTTGATAGTTCCCCGTCCATTTTCTCCCTTCTTATAGGTCGCTGGCATTCGAGTACTCTGCCAATATCGTCCTCCATCGCATTGCTACTTGATCCGCCAAGTGCGTCACTGATCGATTACGCAAGCAATTTGCTCGGTGTTTGATTGGGAAATGATTTGCGTGCTAGACTATTCTATCGTGTGGCGTGAACACAACATATATTATATTATAGGTTCGGCAAACCTACTCGTTTATTACTCTAGCCGCGAATATTCAATTCTCCGGCATATACTGGCCTTTCATTCACACTTTCGGTACCGTGCGGTTCACCACCGAGTGCTCCAATGTCCACCATCTTGGTTACGATTCTGATTGTAACAGAATCTTATGCTTTCGTGCGCTCTCGCTTTGATCTAAACGGTCATTCAAGTATACTGGTACTCCGTCTTCATGCTACAGTAGTACAGTTCTATTGATTCACATGCCTGCTGTTGTCCAGTTTCTCCACCCAGTCTACTATTCCCGTGTCAGAGTCAAAGGATGTCTCCTTTGTCAGGGAATTCCTATTCAAGACCCAAAAATCTTAGGGCGCAGGCCTAGGCGGCTCAGCGTGGGGAATTCCAAAGAGCCGAGCCACCTTTCCCTTTACCACCGAGGCGAAGCTGCTGCCATCGCTCCAAGCGCTGATCTCCAAGTCCGCAGAGCCCATCTCCTCCACGCCCACGGCCCCCACGGAAACGATGGGTTGGGAGTTTTAGCAGGTTCCGAGCTTCAGGCCTGCGGGCCTTGGGGATGCTACTACACATGTCGCGAGAGCACTGCTCATCGCTGCCTGAAGCTTGTCGCTTAAGAGATGTTGGTTGCGAAACCCTATACCCTCATGTGAGATGTTGGTTCCCCAACCCAAGTCCCTGAAAATTTTCGTTGCGAAGCCCAAAGACTCCAAACCCTAAAAGGAGATGAACCCAGTTCAGAAACCCTAAACCCTAAACGGAAAGGTTGGTTGCCAAACCCAACGGTTGATACACCCGAAGACCGAAAAGCAGACGTCGGCCCGAAACCCAAAACCCTAAAAGGGGATGAAACTGACAAACCCTTAAACCCTACAAGGAGACGTCGGTTGGAAAACGCATACCCTAACAGGAGGTGGTTGTTGAGAAACTCAAGACCCGCAAATATGCGCCAAACACGATGTTGGCTGCGAAACCCGGAATGCTGAAAAGAGATGTTGGTTGCCAAAACCCCCAACCCTGAAAAGAAACGTTGCTTGCAAAATCGCGAAAAGTAGATGTTGGTTGAGAAACTTTAAACCTGGAAAGGAGATATTGGTTGCCAAACCCTAAACCGTCAAACGAGATGTCGGTTGAGAAGCCCTAATTAAACCCTGAAAGCAGTTGTTGGTTGCTCAGGATGAAAGCTGGCAAACCCTAGACCCTAAAAGGAAAGGAGATGGCTGCCAAGATCCGTGCTGTTGCGAAAGCCAGAAGACTGAAATGAGATGTTGGTTCAGAAACCCTAAAGCAGAAAAGGACATCTTGGTTGTCAAATCTAGGACCGTAAAGCGCGATATTGCTCGAGAAACCCTAAACCCTAAAAGAAAATATTGATTGCGATACCCCGAATCCTTCAAGGGGCTAAGAACTGTAAACAACCCCCCCCCTCTTTAAAAGGTTGGTTCAAGAAGCCAAAACCCCAAGAAAAAAGAGATGTTGGTTCAGAAACCTAGACCCTAAACGGAGATGTTGGGTCAGAAACCTAAACCCCCAAAGGAGATGTTGCTACAGAAACCTAAACCCCAAAAGGAGATGTTGGGTCAGACGCCTAAACCCTAAAAGGAGATGTTGCCACAGAAACCTAAACCCCAAAACGAGATGTTGGGTCAGGAACCTAACCCTTGAAAAGAGATGATGGTTCAGAAGCCCTAAACCCAAAAAGGAGATGTCGGTTCAGAAACCCTTAAAGCCTAAAACGAGATGTTGGGTGAGAAAACTCAACCCAGAAAAAAAATGTTGGTACAGAAACCCTAACCCTAAAATGAGATGTTGGGCCAGAAACCGAACCCTAAACGGATATGTTGGTTCAGAAACCTCAAGCCAAAAATAGAGATGTTGGTTCAGAAACCTAAACCCGAAATTGGAAATGTTGGGTTTGAAAACCTAATCCCTAAAACGAGATGTTGGGTCAGAAACCGAACCCTAAGCGGAGATTTTGGGTCAGAAACCTAGACCTTGAACGGAGATGTTGGTTCAGAAACCTAAAGCCAAAAATAAAGATGTTAGTTCAGAAACCTAAACCCTAAAATGGAGATGGTGGGTTTGAGAACCTAAACCCTAAAACGAGGTGTTGGGTCAGAAACCTAGACCTTAAACAGAGATGTTGCTTCAGAAACCGAGACCCTAAACGGAGATGTTGGTTCAGAAGCCTAAACCCTAAAAGGAGATGTTGGGTCAGAAACCGAAACCCTAGACGGAGATGTTGGGTCAGAAACAGATGTTTGTTCAGAAATCTAGACCGTAAACGGAGATGTTGGCTCAGAACCCTAAAGCCTAGACGGAGATGTTGGGTCAGAAACCGAAACCCTTAACCGATATGTTGGGGGTCAGAAACCGCAACCCTAACAGGA